TTGCCGGTCTTTCAACGCTGCATACAACACCACTGACTAAAATGGCTGGGCCATATGCTCCGCATGCCCGACGACGCTTTTACGAATATTGTCTTGGCTCCGTTACTTTGTCCTGGATAGCGCCGCCCACAAGGGAGGGGGGGGGGCAAGTAAAAACCTGGATGGAGACAAGGTATTCGAAGACGTCGACCAACTTAGCCTTCGGATGGTATACGGCACTCGCCGATGGAAAATCAACTAGATCAACATTTGCAAGGATCTTGCAGTCAACCGTCAAGCATGAACGGCGGCAATCAGGGGTATTCATGGAGCCGACTTATTCTTTTCAGGGAGGCAGCAATAGTGATGTAAAGTAAGTATATCGATAATTTGGCGTACATACGATAGGATATCTCATGTAGAACATGTCATCACAGTTAGCGGCTGCACACAAGATAATGAATGAAACAGTCCATAGTTATTGGTTTGAACACAGCAATTCGTTCTAGGAAGTCTTATTCACTTTTGAGCGTTGAAAGAAACTGCCAACCGTATTATTTTGCATACTACTGACAAATGTGAGTAGTACCTTACTACGCTAGAGAGTAAGCTGCTAAATGTTCAGTAGTTTCCTTGTTGTTAGAAATGTTAGACACTGTCTGACATTAAAAAACTTTACGCAGGACTTGTCTGAATAAATACTAATTGTCGCACAGTGTTTGAGTCGACCAAAATCCTAACACGATAGCAGAAGTTCCATCCCAATAAATCAGGAATGTTCAAAAATTTTATACAACAATCTGAGGAAACTGGATATGCATTGTAAGACGGAAACCATAGGACTAATTGAATAAAAGGCCTATCGGTAAGAATATGCTACTAAATGAAAAGTAATTGTTATTAGGCAACACAAATCTAATTTCCAGCGAATGGAGTTGACAAACAAGTTTCTCAGAAACAGTGCGATGATTCTGCGTTAAGTGTTTTAGGTAAGATGCATTTAACCTCAACCAACTAGACACTAGCGCCGAGTTTCGGTGATTTTTAATGAATTACTGGACAAAATGTTTCAGAGACACCCGATAAACAAGTCTCAAATCCACTCCCAGAGCAGCAAATGAAATTGATATTACCTAATTCACATCGGAAGTTCAAGTATTGGAGTGATCAGACAAAAGAGTACCGAATACTTATGTCTGAAGGGTGGCAACGACCGCGAAGCCAGTCGTGTGCTTCCAGCGAAATTTTGTTCCTTCATTCATGTACTACTCATTATGACCTTTATGCATAGTGACCTATTCTCGCTTTAGTTGCACCCACGGAAGCAAAAGGCATCAAATGACAGTAAAAATATCAGCCCTGTGGAAACAGAGATACATTCACTGTGAAAGAACTATTTCTTTTACTTTGCTACGGCTGGCTCCCTGGAAAGAATAAGCCTGCTCTGATGGCTGCCTTAGAAGACATGATCATGAAATTACTTGGGAGTTTGATATGAGAGACATCCTCAACGTCACTCGGCGTTTTATTTTATTTTGACGGCTTACCTCTAGCCTTTGCACAACCAAGTCCTAACTGCATAAGGCAGGAGGAAGTAATCCTCGCCTCGGAAGGGAGGGGATAAATAACCGTAGTTTTAAAAGGTCAGTCACATCGACCTTTGTCACGACACCGTCATTGGGTTTATGCAGCTTTTAAACAGGAGCCAGGTGATCAGCCTGAAACCCACCACATCCTGGTGGTGCCACCACTGTTTGTTCGCGATTTGTTTGTTGCGGAATGTCACAACTTATCCACAGTTAATCTTCTGCGGTGAAGGTCTCCCCTATCCTCAACTCGGGGACGCGCCTGGTAGCATTTAGCTCTGCTTAACCCGAGGGAATTATATGCCCTATCTAGAATTGAAACCGATCTGAGAAATTGAAAGTCAGCTAAAGCAAATAAAATCATATAGTTATTTCTGATGGAAGTGGTAATTATAATTCTGCTGCCTCTGTGGGACAAAAATCGGCCGCCGATTTGATTTTGAAACAAAAAATGGAATAGTTAGTTGTATAATTTATTAATCCTACGATCCATTTTCCGGTACAACGATGCCAATTAAATTACCATTGACGAGATATCCGTGATCGAGATTGCCGCTTGTGATAAGAGCAACGAGTGATCGAGTGGGATCAACAAGAAGATAGGTCAATATGCAAAGGATGGGGTGGGGTCGTTTAGAATCTTATTGGCGAAGATCATGCAAGACTACATAGGACCATTAATAAATAGGTTCTGTGATTAATGACTCAGCAGAAATTAAATATGCACGTCTTATTATCATCAATCCACGACGAATGGTTTTAAAGTCTTGTTTCAATAGACCGGGAAATACTACAGGGGAGCAGTGAAGTAAAATAGGGAGAACGCATTCTTTAACAAAGGAGAACAAAACTTGTTGGGGAGTGCGAAATTGTCTAAGCTTTTACAGCTGAAAGGAGAGGCGCCGAAATTTTCTCATACAGTTCTGAATGTATCGACCACCGAAGATTATTATCAATAGATATTTGACTGAGGTCAATTTAGACAAAAAGGATTACTATGAAGGGTTACGGAGTTTGACGGTAATGTAGAGCGGTTCAAATTTGTCTGGCTGGTGTTATGGGCTGATGTGATGAATATGGTTGATTGATTGTGATCTTGTGGTCTGTGGTTTGAAGATGAAAGGACAGACGTCTTTTGTTGTTGTTGTGTGGTTTGGAAATGTTCACATTCAATGGATTGAATGAACTGTTTTATTTTCGGTCTGCGCCCCGTCGGTCACGCCAGAGGTTACGGTCATTTCGGTCAGCTGTGTCCGGTTGAGACCAGCTTGAACGAAGTGACTGAACAAATCACTTTTGAGAACAAAGGGATGGTTTGAGTAGGCGAATAACCACCACCTCTGCTGTACCTTGATACCGTTAACGAACAACTTTGGATGGGTTTACTGGTGCTTTGTAGATCACTTTGATTGTGTCCTCGTTTACTTGATGGCCCGTGTTTGCAAGGTGTTCTACCACTGCAATTGTACTCGTTTTCTTTATACTCCTATTCAACCCGGCTGGAAATCGCTCCTTGACTCTTTGAGACAAGCGCCTGATCGTTCTTCCTATATAACTTGCGGAACATGAGTAAAGGAAGTGGTAAGCCATGACGGCTGTATGAGCCCGTGAAAGAAGTTTCCTAATATCACGATAGGAATTTTCAATGTACAGTGCTTTAACTTTTCTGAACCAAAAGGTAGCCAAAAATCTTTGAACAAAAATAGCTAAAATGCATCCAAGAGCATATACTAATATTATTCAATAACAATAATAATAATAACATTCATGAGTAAATAGTTTTTTATCCACATTGTCCAGAGATTATCCGTGTTTACAAAGATTAAATAAATGTTTATAAGGTTTTATCCGACAGTGTGAGGATACTTTACAACCAATCAGTGGCTTTAGCTGCAGATATTTAGCGTCTAAAATGTATAGATGAAAACTTAGTTTCGGGAATAAAGTATCTAATAACGTTTACACGTCCATCGGAAGAGAAAAACACTGATGGTGCAGTTGTTTGCATGTTAACTTGAACGCGTTCTGTATTCCCCCTAATTGTATTGTGTCTCGACAGACAGACAAGGGGAAGTAGCTTCGTTCTATTCCGGTTTATGCTTGCCTATCAATATTGAACTGTGCTATTGAATTTTATCAAACCTGTGCATTGTAAACGAAAGTTGTGCTGAGGACGGGGGGAACTATGAAGTACAAGTCTTCGCGTGTCTTCGTTCACACAAACCCCACCCACATTATATCTTATTGATTGTTAGAAAATTGATTATGAAACTACCTTTCACTACCAATTCCCTCTCGTTCCCTGACACAAGTCATTTGATTGGACAAACAAACCACCGTTCACTATTTGAGTAAGTAGGAAAAATATCTAATTGATCAGTGAATAAAGTTAAATCTCGACTTATACGTTCAAGTAGACACTCGAACGTCCAACGTGTGTTAGTGAGACACTGAGCAAGCTCTTCTTTGCGAACTTAACAATATGGTCAATCTTAGTTGTGGTTACAAATGTCTTCAGATTATTTTGGTCATTTTGAACTCAGTTGTGCTGGTAAGTCAAAATCATCTATTGATTTGTTTCCATTTCTCAACACGTGATTGATCACCTTCCACATAGGCATGTGGAATTGGGTTAATCTGTGTTGGAAGCATGGCCGAATCTTCGCTCCAAACGTTCGGTGAAAGTAAAGACACCGCGATCGGTGGGATGGTGATTGCGGTGATTTGCATGGGATCAATCATCTTTCTAATCGGATTTTTGGGATTTTGTGGAGCTTGCCTGAAAAGCGCATGCATGTTGATTCTTGTATGTCGCATCCGTTTTCCCCGGGGCTGAACTTGAAACTGAATTTTATTTAGTATGGAGTCTTACTAGGCATTCTCACTATTGGCCTGATCGCCGGTGGTATTGCCGGTCTGGTACTGCGTCAAGAAGTGAGTCAGTCGCATCTAGTCGGTCAGAATGTGACCGTTTGTTTTCGATTCATCCAGGTGCCACACGTGATTTCGAAGAATCTAATGTCTATCTATTCAGACTATGACAAGAGCGAGAAAGTTCAGAAGTTGATTGACCTCATGCAGACAAAGGTTATTTGGTTTTCATTCAAAACAATAATTTCTCTTGTGTGATTTGAAACAAATTACAGTTACAATGTTGTGGACTGAATGGAACGTGGTCTACTGGTACTATACCGGAATCTTGCCTTGATAGTGATAAACAGCAATACAAAGTCGTGAGTTTTAATCTTCCCTATATATGTATATATTCAGTGTATGGTTTATAATGTATGACACAAATACTACGGTATGGATGATTTATTGTTAGGAAATATGGTTTGGAGTTTAGATATATCTAACTAATCATATACGGTTTCGTAGGGGAAGCATATTATTCAGTTATATTCACTTTTATATGAGAGGAATGAAGGATCAAATCATCCATTCCTCTGCTATAACAAATAGTCAGGTTGTGAAAGTTTCCAACCGAGTCACAACCCTGGAGTCTAGAGGTTAAGAAAAACGAGGACAAGCTCGCAGAGATGCTTTGTGATATATGGTGTATATTTAAAATGATAAACGGTACTTTCAACTATCGGTGGTTGCGTGGGTATTGTGCTTGCGTTCTACCCGTGAGACCCCGGGTTTGATCCCCAGTTGGGTCGATGGATTTGCGCACTGCTTGGATGAGATCCAACCAGGTCAAAACAGCTGCCCAGTGCTTCACAACTTTTCAGATTACGCCTCATTTACACGACGAATATATTCAATTTCCTGACTGAAGTCGGATTGATTTACCGTTTGTTTTACTGTTTAAAAATCCAAAACCCCTCATAAAACAAGATCCAGTTAACAGCCAACAAGAGGGATTGGCGAGCACTGACTGACCCCCAGCGCAGGTACCATGCAAACCTTTGCATTTTCACTGTTAGTCTTGTCTCTCATGGGTCTCCTTTTAATTTGGACTCTTACTGTCAGAAAGAAAATCGTGTTAGCAAAACATCAAAATCAATTTAAGATCATCTCTATTCGCGGGATTCGGCGATCGGAGAGAGATATCATTCTGTGGGGCTCTCAGTAAAATGATTCAGTTTATTCACTTTTAAAATAACGTCAGTAACGAAGATTTTCATTTTTTTCGTTACGCTGAACCAAAAAGCTATCGACCATTTTTCCTTCTGGAGGAGCAATTCTGTACGTATGCTTCAGTAGTTCACTTCTAAACTAATCAATCCTTATCACGTCCTATACAACAAACAGCACTTGTATAGTTGCAAGATGACGGGCTGTACATATTGCTGTCATATTTTTAACAGTATTCAGTATCCAATGAAAATTTTAAACTACTCAATGGACTTCGATGCAAATATAATCAAAACGTTCAGTCTCATGGGGAGCATTAGTCACGATTCAGGCTAGCTTGGAGGCACAGTATTTTGGATGTTAATGTTGTCAGTGATCAGCGTAAATCATAATGGATAAACCACAAGAGTATCCTGAAAGAAGAAGATAAAAAGAAGAAAAAGGGAGTCTATTCAATTGGTTACTGATAATCCAGTGCGTACGTATATCGCTATTAGGATTGAAATCATTATTGTTGCGATTATTGGTATCTATATGGGTTGAACAAAAATAATCACATCAAGTTATGAGTGAGGGTTTGATGAGTCCGTAGTTCCAACTAAAACAGAAATGCACTAGCCAAAGATAAAACATCTGCCCTATCAATCCATTCACTTAATAACATGTTTTATCGATTGGTTTAGCTCAAAACAGGGATATCTTATTTTGAATTACCTACTGTTTCATTGAATTCTCATTTCGAATGCTCAAATAAAGGGGGATACGAGTATATTTCATTTTATCGATAATCTCACGTGACTGAGCTGCACATTAACTTTTTGGTGGTCGGAATGTCAAAGTATTAGATGATCGATGTTTTGGTATCTTATATATATGGTCATGAACTCGTAACAAGTAGACAAACGAGATGGTTTACAGGCTACTGAATATTCCGCCATTCAAATTGATAGCAGGCGTCCAGCTATATATATATATCCAATGACAACTGAAATTCAGAATGGTTGAGATGAATTTTAGTATATCAACACTTGAACCGTGCAGTGGATTCTGGCTACATATACTCACACAAGGGCGTTCTCTTTGTGGTACGTCTACCCAGTGATCGCTTAATTCAGTCCTGGTGAACTTTCTCGAGGTTCGTTTTGGCATATCATACGGCAATACGTTACCAACGGTTCAAATTAAATAACCATATGTTATCTTAGGGCAACTCGGTACACAGTGCGGTGCGGAGGACTACGTCAGATATTTTTAACAACTGTTTCGGTCAAGTCCTGTCAATTATTTTGTTCTCAGAACCTTTGCAGCGAAAATTCGTCAAAATAACACTAATAATAATGGCATAACTGAACTCATCTCACAAACGGTTTCCAGGTACCCTCAGTTTCTTGCACTCAACTCCAAACTTCTGTGGAGACGTAGCCGTTAATTCTTTTACCGTGATTTTCTTACGATTTGTTGTTTGAGGACGTTATATACAGTAAAGAAAGTGGGCTCTCCTGCCAGTAAGTGATTTTTTCACTTTAAATCATTTGGGATTTCTACATGAAAAGAAACAATTGGTGAAGTCCCGATTTGAGAGACTGAGGCAGTCTAATCCTGGAATAAGCGTTGGTATGATAAACGTGTAATAGAGAGGTTAGTGAAAAAGACAAATAGCACACCACTAAATGACTTGAGTCAGATTTTTTAAAGGCCTAATATTTCAAGCTCTATATTTCTTCGGTATCCTACCTGGTGCCTTGCTGCATAGATATACTTTATAGGTGATCCGAGAAAGTGGAGAGTGGAATATTTCTCTGATCAAATAGAAGCTTTGACATCCACAAGTGTAAATTAACGTAGATTAGCCAAAATGTCCATTTGGTAACTGCAGTTTACTACGGTTAAATTCAGCAATCTTATAGTGAACATAAATAAAACCTCCGTGAACTGCATTCTGCGCCAAAAATGATATTTTTTCACCAACAGACTTCACGAAATCAAATAATTAGGCAGATGTAATGGTGTGTACGACTGTTTAAAGTTGAGGATCGATTGACGTTGCTAATGCTTTCCTATTGGCTTGAATGCGCGGAGGTTTAGCGTTTCTCAAAATTCATATCAGCATGGTAAATCGTAAACTGAATTCAAATAAATGTCTGGAAGCCATCAATTTTATTGTGACTTTCGGTGAAATACTCTGCTGTATATCGGAAGAAACAGGTGCTTATCCAGCAAACCCTACCATGGTGATATCTAATATCCACTTAGTATTTTATTTCATCTGTATATTGCCACTATAAAAAATACTTTACAATTGAGTAAACTTGTAAAGAGTTTGTAGTAAATCGAGTATAGACAGAGAGAGAATGTTTGCGTTCTACCTGTGAGGTTCCCGGTTTGATCTCCAGTTGGGTCGATGAATTCTCGCACTGCTCGGTTGACACCCAACCAGGTCAAAACAGCTGTCAAGTGCTTCCTAGCTTTTCAGGTTACGTTTCATTTACACGAGGAATTCATCGTATAAACAAATCAAGTCCACCATTACTCTCATACAAAATTCTTCCTGTCTTCTCATATTAGTGCGTCTTTCAGGTTGGGGACAGCATATTAGTCGGTTCTCTTTTGACTTTATGAAATCAATTCGTTACACTTTACACAATGTAAAACACATTTAAAAACGGTTGTATCCATAATAACTGTAATTACAGTTTCATGACAGACCAGAGTAATTCATGTGTTTTCACTCGAAACCAATTTTGTATGATCGGAGAACAAATGTAGAAAAACAATACAATGTATTTCAGGGTTCTTTGTTCGTTCGTTCGGAGATATTATTCTTTTTGTTTATTCCGTATACAAACACACTGAGCTACCAAATAGCCCCTTGTTATCAAACAATCAGTGTATGTGTGTGTGTGATTCGGGCAGCGCTTTCAGTGCGCTCTTGGTGAGATCTTGTGGAACCATAGACATCGGGATCTGTGTACATTTTCTTTCGCGGGTTGGAAACATTTACAAGACAAAAACAAGGTCCACAGACCAGGGTCGGTGAACTGATTTGGATGTACCAAACTCCTGTTTTGCTGATGAAATGAAGCAATCGAAGGGCTTGCTTTCGAATGTGTGCAATCAAATTGAAGTTTGTGGTTTGAGTAACCGGCGGGGGGGGGGAGGACGGAGCGGTGACACAAATAAAAACTACTCACTGTTGATGAGCCCAACTAAAAACGGAACAGTTTCCTTGCACCCTCTGTCAACCAGTACACATCTTCGGACGAATATCGATCGTTGGTTTCATAGAATGATACTTATAAAATATGTTTTTTCACATAGATAGGCTTTGAGTTGTACTCTACGAGTGTTCCTAATGTACTGTTTCTAGAATAGTCAATGGTGTACGATAAACTGTCACTTGCAATAGAAAGTTTCGGGAAACTGTCATTCATCTACAGTTACCAGATCACTAAACCAAGCTGACGAGTGTTTTTCGATCCGATTTATCTTTTGCTTTTCGCTTACACTAATCACTATTAATTCAGTAGTTCTATTCTGGAAAATGTTTTCCCTCAAATGCAACCGTTTCAGTAGGCGCAGTTCTTAAGAGATCAGGAAACTGAATACATTCTAATATATCCTTTTATTTTTTTCGTTCATCTGCTTGGTTCAACACCTGTCGAAAAAATCGATTGAGTTTTTTCTTGCGTCAAATGGTCATGAGATTGAAATGGTTGTTGATCATTACTTCATAAATCATTTAATGGGGTGTACCAATTAGGTCAGCCGGAATAGTGTAAGTTTAGAAAAAAGAAACAGTTTTTCATTTTAACAGTCAGGGATTACAAAAATACGCATTTCGTTGAGATACAAATTGAAGTGATTTGATTTGTTGCTCAGAGAATACTTTCGTTTTTGTCTTGTGAGTTTTCGCATTTGTAACTCAGTTAGACTCATACTGTCAATGATTTCCAACACAGTTATTTCCGGTTTTTACCTTACGTTATGTTTGTATTTTAAGAAGACAGTCCCCTCTGAACAATTAAAATACCTGAAGCCCATTCATGTCAATGGGGAGCATTTTATTCATAATCCCATCTTTGAGTTGACATCTGTAAATGACCTCCAAATGAGTTTCTACGGTGATTTGATTCCAACCCTACCCGTACCAAACACACCAGCTTTTCTCTCATTATAATCTTATAGCATTGTATTTATTTTCCACCGCACACCACCACCATGATTTGTCCTTAAATTGCCAATTACGTCTCACCGTTTAGGGCTGTGAAGAGGCGTTTGGCAAGTTTTTACAAGACAATCTGGTCGTGATCGCCATTTCCATATTCGTCATCGCTTTTGTTCAAATCATGTGCATGGTATTTGCCGTGTGCATAATTCGGGCGATCAATAACGATGACAGTCAAACTGCATAGACCAATCAATCCCCGTGGGTCACGGATGGTGTGGATCAATTTCGGCCACGAAATGAAACACACTCACCTCAGAATATCTACCTACCTACCCAACCCATTTACCTTTTCGTCATCAATCTGCCCCGCCTCTGTTATTCCTCTTCAAGCAGTTCTCTTGTGATCCGGTTCGGTCAGAAATTTCTTTTTTTAAATCACATCTCAGTCCTGCGGTTCTCGGTTGATGTGTTCGGACATACTAACTTGAAAATCCGAAATTTATCTTCGTAACAAACAAACATGCAATTTATTTTGGAAAATAAAACTTCTAAGGCATATTCATTCTTTTGTCTATATGTCCCGTATAACAGTAACGGGACTCAATGATTAGAACTGGAAATGCTTACATACAACTAGATAATGATATTTCATTTAGTCGACGATTTTTGTATTTATGTGTTTTATAATTCAAAGACAGTGATCACGTGATTTTGAAGATGACAATCACACCATTGGATTCAAAGTTCCGAAATTCAGATTTCAGTCAAGATGGTGCTTCTTGTAAGCGTTTATACGGTCTGTTCAGTTAATTTGTCTGCGTTCAGCTAATTCCACTCAGATGTTATCTTCTTATTCAAAATGGCTCACGTTTGACGGCCAACTGTTTACACACACCAAAGGATAGGCCATGAGTAGTGTTACAATGTTAAGGGACTATGCTTAAATTACCACATCCGATCTTGGGGATCTAAAATAGGACGGCGGTTGCTGTAGTCTTTCACTTCAATGGGAATAACGCATTTAACATACGAATCGATCGAGCATGCAATTTACTATTGCGGAAAGCTTTTATCTAATCTGTTGCGGTTATGTGAATGCTTCGATTGCGTAATCAAACAACGATTTCCGAGATATGCACCACATATATTAAATACTGTTTCTAATCGTGCTACCATGGTTTCCGATCAAATGCTAATACATGTTTAAAAAATAGACCATTAGAATTGGGTCTATATTGCTGTAGATCAACTCCTGGTATGTTCTGCGCACTTCCACTATTTGTCGGTAGTCAAGGTTACGTGTAGAGTAACCTATGTACATGCAAATGTCTAGATCAGCACACACACAGAGCATTAACGTGCTACCACGTAGCTGTTTCTGTCAAGATAATCAATAAAAGTTTCTTGATGTTTCTTATGCTGTCCAGGAAAGTGCTTTTAAAACGTGGGTGTTCTCGTCGATATATGGGTGAGTTTAGTGAGGGTGGGACAATCAATATCGACATCGATATCGATATCGATATCGTTGGCAATCACGAAAATTGATTTTTTGCTAGCACTTAGGTCTGATGGGGTAAACACAATCATGACCAAGAGTGAAGGAAGATAAACAGTTTTTCTACTGGTTACAAGCTATTACGTGAATTTTGATTGGCAAACATTTGCAACGCATGGCTCTAACTTGTTATGGACTTGAGATGAAAAAAACATCGAAATGTATAAAAAACCATATGATCTAGAAGACTATTATATACAGAACAATTTTCGCTAGAATTCCGCTGTAGTTTTGAGACCCATCACAAGGAAGTACCAACGTAGCACAATTGTTTACTTTTCTTCATTTTACTTCCTTTTATTGAATATACAAAGATACAATTTTCAGGAAGGGGGAAGCGGCCAATCGAAGGGCTGCCATACAACACACAAATGGGGAGTCAGGCGGTGGTGGTGGGATTCGAACACTCGTCCTCCGGGGTGATAATTTGGTGACGTTACCACCGGGCCACCACCGCCGTCGGCTTGTATGGAACACTAACTGACCGTTGCTTCCACTTCTATTTATTGATCGATAAAATACAGCACTATTTTGACCCGAGTCACAAATTAATTTAGCCATCCTAATGAACGCATTCTCAGCGCTTGCACCCCATGGATATCATGTACAGTTGCATATGGAGAAAAGGTCAAATATGCAGTCGTAAATTCAAAGGACGAAGGTGGCGTAAAAATGTGAAAATGAATTTCGTTGACTGAGAATTTTTAAAAAGAATTCTCTTACAGATACTTTGGCAAAAGATATGGGCTAACGGGCAAGTGGTGGGCAGTGGTGGGAGTATACTAAAGTCTATAATAGCATCTGGTTACGGAAGTGGATAGACATTGTTTTAATTCAGTGTGTCATGGATGAGTGATGTTCGATATAATA